AATTAACTTTAAATGGTGAATTTACCGGTTTACAACTTGCACCGGTTTCATTAACTCAAGCCTACCACGATCATTTATGACAACAAATAGTCATATATGGTTCCAAACAGTATTATATGACCCCGAAATGTATCTCCTAAAATTTCAAGAAATTTTCGACACCGGGCCCCGAAACCTCCAAAATTTCTCAAAAAACGTGGATATTAGTCTTCAATTTTGGAATTTTATGACAACTGATACTGATTTCATTAATTCAAGCCTACCATGAACATTTATGACAATATATAAAGATCATATATGGTTCCAAACGGCATTTTATGACCTCGAGATGTATCTCCTAAAATCTTAAGTCTTTTCGACAACGGGCCCCGAAAACCCCCTAAAATTTCTCAAAATGCGTGATTATTAGCCTTCAATTTTAATTTTTTTTTTTTACTTTTTTCGCCCGTAAATAATAATTGACGAAATATTTACCATGGTTCTCAATACCCTCCGGTAGTTCCATTGGGTGGGTGGAACTATACGATTTGCCTTTAAACGACAAATTACCGATTTACAAGTTGCACCGATTTCAATAACTCATGCCTACCACGAACATTTATGACAACATTTAATAATCATATATGGTTCTAAACAGAATTATATGACACCAAGATGTATTTCCTGGTATTTCAAGACTTTTCGACACCGAGTCCCGAAACCTTCAAAATTTCACAAAATGCGTGGATATTAGTCTTAAATTTTGGAATTTTTTGACCTTTTCCGGTGTGAAATAAAAATTACAATTTTTTTTTTACCATGGTCTCTTATACCCTCTGCTAGTCCAATTGGGTGGGTGGAACTACCAATTTTCCTCTAAATGGCAAATTTACCGGTTTACAACTTGCACGGAATTCAAATAACTCAAGCCTACCACGAACATTTTTGACAACATATAATGATCATAAATGGTTCTTAACGACGTTAAATGATCCCAAGATATATTCACTAAAATATCAAGTCTTTACGACACCGGGTTTCAAAATCTCCAAAATTTCTCAAAAAACGTGGATATTAGCCTTCAATTTTGGATTTTTTTTACTTTTTTCACCCGTAAATAAAAATTGCCGAAATGTTTACTATGGTCCCTATTACCCACCGGAAGTCCAATTAGGTGGGTGGAACCATCCAAATTAACTTTAAATGGTGAATTTACCGGTTTACAACTTGCACTAATTTCATTAACTCAAGCCTACCACGAACATTTATGACAACAAATAATGATCATATATGGTTCCAAACAGCATTATATGACCCCGAGATGTATCTCCTAAAATTTCAAGACTTTTCGACACCGGACCCCGAAACCTCTAAAATTTCTCAAAAAGCGTGGATATTAGTCTTCAATTTTAGAATTTTTAACTTTTATCGCCCGAAAATAAAAGTTGCCAAATTTTTACCATGGTCCATACTACCCTCCGGGAGTCCAATTGGGTTGGTGGAACCATTCAATTTACCTTTAAACGACCAATTTAATTACTAGTTTACAACTTGCATGGATTTTATAAAGTCAAGCCTACTACAAACATTTATGACATCATATAATGATCATATATGGTTCCAAACAATATTATATGACCTCAAGATATATTCCCTAAAATATTAATACTTTTCTACACCCGGCCCCGAAACCTCCAAAATTTCTGAAAAATCGTGCATATTAGCTTCTATTTTGAGATTTATTGATTTTTTTCGTCAGGAAATAAAAATTGCCGAAATGTTTACCATGGCCCCTAATACTCTCCGGGAGTCCAATGGATTGGGTGGAACCCTCCAATTTGCCTTTAAACGACCTAGTTACCGGTTTACAACTTGCACCGATTTCATTAACTCAAGTCTAGCGCTAAAATTTATGACAATACATAATCATTATAAATGGTTCCAAACGACATTATATGACCTTAGAATATATTCAATAAAATATAAAGTCTTTTCTACTCCGGGTTTTGAAACCTCAAAAATTTCTCAAAATACGTGGATATTAGCCTTCATATTTGAATTTTTTGACATTTTTTCGCCCAGAAATAAAAAATTTCGAAATGGTTACCATGTTCTATAATACACTCTCGGAGTTAAATTGGGTAAGTGGAATCATCCAATTTGCCTTTTAACGACCAATTTACCGATTTACAACTGATACCGATTTCATTAATTCAACCCTACCATGAACTTGTATGACAATATAAAATGATCATATATGGTTCCGAACGACATTATATGACCTCGAGATGTATCCTCTAAAATCTTAAGTCTTTTCGACAACAGGCCTCGAAACCTCCAAAATTTCTCAAAATGCGTGGATATTAGCCTTCAATTTTAAATTATTTTTACTTTTTTTTCGCCCGTAAATAATAATTGACGAAATATTTACCATGGTTCTTAATTCCCTTCGGGAGACCCATTGGGTTGGTGGAACCATCCAATTTGCCTTTGAATGACAAATTACCGATTTACAAATTGCACCGATTTCAATAACTCAAGCCTACCACGAACATTTATGACAACATTTAATAATCATTTATGGTTCCAAACGGCATTATATGATACCAAGATGTATTCCCTGGAATTTCAAGACTTTTCGACACCGAGTCCCGAAACCTTTAAAATTTCACACAATGCGTGGATATTAGTCTTAAATTTTGGAATTCTTTGACTTTTTCCGCTGTGAAAAAAAAAATTGCCTAAATGTTTACCATGGTCTCTAATTACCCTTCGCTAGTCCAATTGGGTGGGTGAAACCACCAATTTGCCTCTAAACGACCAATTTACCGGTTTACAACTTGCACGGATTTCATTAACTCAATCCTACCACGAACATTTATGACAACATATAATGATCATAAATGGTTCCAAACGACATTATATGACCCCAAGATATATTCACTAAAATATCAAGTCTTTTCGACACCGGGTTTCGAAATCTCCAAAATTTCTCAAAAAACGTGGATATTAGCATTCAATTTTGGAATTTTTTGACTTTTTTCGCCCGTAAATAAAAATTGCCGAAATGTTTACTATGGTCCCTAATACCCATCGGGAGTCCAATTAGGTGGGTGGAACCATCAAAATTAACTTTAAATGGTGAATTTACCTATTTACAACTTGCACCGATTTCATTAATTCATGTCTATCACGAACATTTATGACAACAAATAATGATCATATATGGTTCCAAATAGCATTATATGACCCCAAGATGTATCTCCTAAAATTTCAAGACTTTTCGACACCGGGCCCCGAAACCTCCAAAATGTCTCAAAATGTGTGGATATTAGTCTTCAATTTTGGAATTTTGAACTTTTATCGCCCGAAAATAAAAATTGCCGAAATGTTTATCATGGTCTCTACTACCCTCTGGGAGTCCAATTGGGTTGGTGGAACCATTCAATTTACCTTTAAACAACCAATTTAATTACCAGTTTACAACTTGCACGGATTTCATAAAGTCAAGCCTACTACGAACATTTATGACAACATATAATGATCATATATGGTTCCAAACGACATTATATGACCCCAAGATATATCCCCTAAATATTAATACTTTTCTACACTGGGCCCCGAAACCTCCAAAATTTCTCAAAAAGCGTGGATATTAGCCTTCAATTTTGAGATTTTTTGATTTTTTTCGCCCGGAAATAAAAATTGCCGAAATGTTTACCATGGTCCCTAGTACTCTCCGGGAGTCCAATGGAATGGGTGGAACCCTCCAACTTGCCTTTATAACAAAAAATAATGATCATATATGGTTCCAAACGGAATTATATGACCCTGAGATGTATCCCATATAATTTCAAGACTTTTCGACCCTGGGCCCCGAAACCTCCAAAATTTCTCAAAAAGCGTGAATATTAGCCTTTAATTTTTTATTTTTTGGACTTTTTTTCGCCGAAAATAAAAATTGCTGAAATGTTTATCATGGTCCCTAATACCCTCCGGGAGTCCAGTTGGGTGTGTGGAACCCTTCAATTTGCTTTTAAACTGCGAATTTACCGGTTTACAACTTGCACCGGTTTACAACGACCAATTTAATTAACTTGCACCGAACCCGACTTGAACCGAAATTGACTCAAACCTGTTTTAACCCGTCAAAACCCAAATTTAACCCGACTTGTTATTAACTTGACCTGAATTCAACCCGACCCGAATTTAACCCAACGTGTTACAAACCCGACCCGAAATCAACCTTACTTGTTATTGACTTAACCCAAATTCAAACCAACTTGTTATTGACCCAACCTGAATTTTACAATACCTATTACTTACCCAACCCAAAAATTCAACTCGATCTGTTACTAACCCGACTCGAAATTAACACGACTTGTTATTGACCCGACCTATTCAACCCAAATTGTTCCCGACCCGATTTCAAATCACCTTAAATGCAATTTAGACCACCTTATTATTGTTGATCAAAGCATTTTGTCTTGGGAGACCAAGTCGGTCTAGGCCAGCAAAAGAAAGGAGCATAATTCTCAAATTTAAGAGTTAAATATTGTATATATTTGTTGTATGGTCAAAGGAGATAATTATCTTCCTAAATTATAGATTATAGTTCCTTAGTATATTGTCATATATATTATAGTCAAAGGAAATAATTAGCTTGATAAAAATGATAATTATCTATTTATAGTTAGTTGAATGCGAATATGACCTGACTTTGAAATGACTCGACTTGATTGTAACCTACAAATTATTCACTTGAACATAACCCTCGCAGATTGGTCCGACTCGTCATTCACTTCTGACTCCGTGTTCGATAGCCCGACCGTTGAATCCGAGAATGACCCTACTTGGAAATGACCCAACCAGATTATAACCCGCAAATTATTGGCTTGAACGGTTGAACCGAACACGACTTGAACCCGAGAATGACCCGACTTGAAAATGACCCGACCTAATTATAATCGCAAATTATTGACTTGAACCGAACTCGACTGAAACCTGAGAATGACCCGGCCTGATTCTAACCCGCAAATTATTGACTTGAACCGAACCCGACTTGAACCCGAGAATTATCCTAAACCGTTTTAACTCGTGAAAACCCGAATTAAACCCGACCTGTTGTTCACCCGACCCGAATGTAACCTGACCTGTTATTAACCCAAACCTAATAAAAAGCATGACTCGACGTGACCCGATTCAAGCATGACCCAACCCTAACCCGACTCGCATAGGTTATGAAATTAATCTGAATTGTTCCGACCCAAGTTGACCCAACCCACTCTTACCTGGCCCAAAACCAATCCGTTTACCCGAATTGACAGCTCTAGGTACTAGGTCATATCAGCCTGATATATGAACTCGAAAATGGCTCACCAGACAATAGCACAAAGCAGATACAACTCAGACACTACACTTTGCATTTGTGCACGTCAGGATATAACCTTGTAGAATAACATTGCAAACTCCAACTCGCTACTAGTATATTACTCGATACTGGTAAAAAAAAAAAAAAAAAAAAAAAAAAAAAAAGGCGATGATATACCCCAATATTTATTATCCACTTCATTTCAGGAAGTTTGTAAAAGAGCATGTGCCTTTGCGTACAAAGCTCCTTTTCACATGGAAATTGCAACTTCACGATATAAATGCTTCCGTTGTTAAAAAAATACGGAGTAATAAACACTTACAGAGAGAATTTGCAACTAGCAAACTTACAAGAAGATACAGGGGCTGTAATAACAATCTGAGGGTATAATATTTAAACATAAGGCAATATGCAAAAACCTTTTAACATAGATGAAAATAACACAAACTATAGCCCCCTAACAACACGTTACTGCTTGCGCAGCAGTGAACCACAACCCTTAGAGTAATGGCTCAGCAGTGATCTGATACTAAATGCACCTTCCTAACACCACGTAACTGCTTGCCTAAAATCCTTTGATAATCAATTAAAGCTAGACTAAGTTGGATCTAATGCCATTTGAATCTTAGGCATATGGCTGGTGTGATGGTTGCATATTAGAGCCATAGCTAGGGGCAGCAGGAGAATACGGGCCTCTGGGCCTGGTATCTTGCGGATAATATAATCTTTGATCAGTGGCTTGAGCAGCATAAGGAAGTTGAGCAGTAACGGTAAAGCTATGAGGAGTTGGGAAAGCAGGATTGTACCTCTCTGGTCGTCCAGTTACTCCCGTATATGATGCCCTTGGTGGTGGGCCATGTCTCCCACGACCAAAGCCCCGAGCTCGTTGGCCTTGGAATCCTCTATCACCTTTCGGCTTTTTATGATGTTGGTGATAACCGGTTTCAGCTGTCCTCTTAGTATCACCTCTGACAGATTTGTCTAGCTGAGCAACCCTTTTATGGAGTGGATCAAGAGGGTAGTCAGCTTCAAGTTTATATTGTTCCACACACGCAATGACTGCCCTCAATGCTTCAAGTTCTCGAGCATTGTAGTCATTCTGAATGTGACACAGAAATTTCAGCTGTCAGAAGCTGCCAACGAAAACCTCATAGATGGTTCTAAATACAGCTATAATGATAAATTACTTCTTTTTATCAATGTGTTAATACCTGTAAGGCAGCACTGCCATTTCCTTGTGAGTTTCTCCTAAGCTCTTTCAAATATGCTCTCAAAAGAGGAACAGGAGGGAAAGCCTCAGAGAGCTTGAAAGCATGAATAAAATGTACTGCATCAATTTGCCTCCCATTACTTATCAGCGTATCAACCAAACCTGCAAAAGATTTAAGAGCTCAAATGGGTACACTTCTGAGTTCTGAAGAGTAGCAACTTTTAACAGTTAAACAATAGATAGGCACTTAGCACTTTAAACAATAAATATGCCATATACCTACAAAACAGACTACATTACTTGGGGGAATAAACCTATAAAGAACATTGACGCATATCTTTTCCAATCTTCAGAGACAGGACGGTTGAAAGAATACCAACCTGGTATCTTTTGTGTCAAACCAAGATAGCGGCAGAGCTCAGTTGCCTGCCTGTGATGAGCAACTGCAAGAACATACTTGCAGTGCAAAAACCCCTCTGCTTCCAATGAATTTTCATTGGCAGCATTAATGCTTTCCCCAGCCAATTTAAGTTTCCACACATTGGCAATAACTTTCGCCTGCTGCTGGGTTTCAGGGTTAAGAAAGCTATCAGTGTCACAGTCAGCCTTAGACAGAAAGGCAGACAAGGCTTCCATAAGGATTAGACAAGACTGACGCATGCCATGAAGGGCAGCATCTCTAAGATCCACTTCTTGGGTCATTTCTTTGGGAGGGGAAAATCCCGCCAGTGCATCAAGCACCAAACATGCTGGCTCAGTCGCAATACCGAGTGCGACTGACAGCTGTTCCTTCCAAAGAGAGGAAAGGTTTTCTAGGTTCTCCATAACAAATTTCAAAAGTCCTATGGAATCCATCTGCTCACAAAATTGAGTCAGCTCTGCACAAGGATTAACCTTGGCAGCAACACCTTCAACATTTCCCCCCATTTTATGAGGAGGTTTCCGTTCTTGGGTGTCAATTGATGCATTTTCATCATCAACAAAGCTGCTTACCTTATGGTTTTCCCTAGCTTTAGTGATGGCAGCCACAGCAGCATCTTTTAGTTCCTGTACCTGATCTAACAAATCTTGCTCCTTAGCCACAACTTCTGCCTCTTTCTCAGCAAAAAGCATGTGATAGTGAGATTCCCTAGCTGTGAAATCCTTCTCTTTGGCTTCAAGTTCTTCAAATGTCTTCTTCGTCCTTGACTCCAAGTTACGGAAATGTGCATCATTCCATGGAACCTGAGTACTGAAAGCAGCGTTATGAGTTTCCAGCTCAATTAATGCCTCCTCTAGTTGTTCTAGCAGAGATGAGCTCAACTCGACAGAGGATGTCATATTTATCTCAACCATTTCTTCTCTATCACCCATTTAACCGTTAGCCAGGGCTGCAATAAGATAATCCATATAAAAACACAAGATGCATGAATATATTAAATACAAGAATGCAAATATATTTTCCTTACACACCATAACTTTCATTACTTCATCAGATGTCACATCATTATACTAAAAAGAAATTTATTTCCAGCTGTGTACTAAACACCTATATTTAGGCTTAATTGGCCGCTGATTATATTCTACCTGATCACTAAAGCATGAACCATCGATATTCCCTCTAAATAGGCAAGGTTATGGTTCTATCGTTTAACTTGTTTATTTTATGTTGAGCCTATATAGTTTTAACAATGAGGAACAAAGTAATTAACCAACTTTTTTTTAAACTACATCATCTATATGTGTGCAAAGAAGCCAAGGATCATTAATGGAAGTTGGTGCAACTATTGTCAGAAAACTTGATTCTTCAAAAAATCTCTATCCTCATTTTCACCACTCTTTAACCACTCACATGCCTATTTGAATAACATTTTAATTACCCTAAGTAAAAATATTATGATATTGGCCTAACTAGACAAATGAACACCTCGGCCATTTCTATGCTACCAAACTAGCCATAAAAAATTTTAGGAAGAAAAATAAAATTTCACCTCCACAATCCCTAATCACACTAAGTCATTACCAAGGTGTTTCTCTATATTCAACCCGATAAACCACTACCACGGCTAGAGCTGTCAATTCGGGTAAACGGGTCGGGTTTGGGTCGGGTAAGAGTGGGTCGGGTCAACTCGGGTCTGGTCAATTCAGATTAATTCCATAACTTATGCGGGTCGCATTTGGTTTGGGTCATGCTTGAGTCGGGTCACGTCATGTCATACTCTTTATCGGGTTTGGGTCGGGTTAATAACAAGTCGGGTTACATTCGGGTCGGGTGAACAATAGGTCGGGTTTAATTCGGGTTTTCACGGGTTAGGGTAATTCTCGGGTTCGAGACGGGTTAAGTTCAAGTCAATAATTTGCGGGTTAGAATCAGGTCGGATCATTCTCGGATTTGAGTCGGGTTCAGTTCATGTCAATAATTTGCAGGTTATAATCAGGTTGGGTCATTTCAGAGTGAGGTCATTCTCGGATTCAAGTCGGGTTATGTTCAAGTCAATAATTTGCAAATTACTATCAAGTCAGGTCATTTCCAAGTCAGGTCATATTCGGGTTCAACTAACTATAAATAGATAATTATTATTTTTATCAAGCTAATTATTTCCCTTGACTATAATATATATGGCAATATACTAGGGAACTATAGTCTTAATTTAGGAAGATAATTATCTCCTTTAACCATACAACAAATATATACTATATTTAACTCTTAAATTTGAGGATGATGCTCCTTTCTTTTGCTGGCGTGGACCGACTTGGTCAACCTAGATAAAATGCTTTGATCAACAATAATAAGGTGGTAAAAATTGCACTTAAGGTGATTTAAAATCGGGTTATGAATAACTTGGGTTGAATTTAGGTCTGGTCAATAACAAGTCGTGTTAATTTCAAGTCGAGTTAGTAACAGATCGGGTTGAATTTTTGGGTCGGGTAATTAATAATCGGGTTTAATTTGGGTCGGGTCAATAACAAGTCGGGTTGATTTCAGGTCGGGTTTATAATAGGTTGGGTTAAATTCGGGTCGGGTTAGGAACAGGTCGGGTTGAAATGAGGTTAGTAATAAGTTGGGTTAAATTCGGATTTTGACGGGTTAAAACAGGTTTGGGTCAATTTCGGTTCAAGTAGGGTTCGGTGCAAGTTAATTAAATTGGCCGTTGTAAACCGGTAAATCGGTGCAAGTTGTAAACAGGTAAATAGGCCATTTAAAGACAAATTGTATGGTTCCACCCACCCAGAGGATATTATGGACCATAATAAACATTTTGACAATTTTTTTCCGGGCGAAAAAAAGTCAAATATTTCAAAAATTAAAGGCTATTGTCCACGCTTTTTAAGAAATTTTGGAGGTTTCAAGGCCCGGTGTCGCAAAGTCATGAGATTTTAGGGAATACATTTGGGGGTCATATAATGCCGTTTGGAACCATATATGATCATTATATGTTGTCATAGATGTTCGTGGTAGGCTTGAGTTAATAAAATCGGTGCAAGTTGAAAATCGGTAAATTGGCCGTTTAAAGGCAAATTAGATGGATCCACCAACCCAATTGGACTCCCGGAAGGTATTAGGACCATGGTAAACATTTCGAAATTTTTTATATCCAGGCGAAAAAAAGTCAAAAAAATCCAAAATTGAATGCTAATATCCACGCTTTTTGATAAATTTTGTAGGTTTTGTGTCGAAAAGACTTGAGATTGTAGGGGATACATCTCGGGGTCATTAATTCCGTTTGGAACCATATATGATCATTATATGTTGGCATAAATGTTCGTGGTAGGCTTGATTTACTGAAACCGGTGCAAGAAAATCGTTAAATTGGTCGTTTAAAGGCAAATTGGATGGTTACACCCACCAAATTATACTCTCAAAGGGTATTAGGGATCATGGTAAACATTTCGTTAAACATTTCGGCAATTTTTATTTCAGGGCGAAAAAAAGTCAAAATATTCCAAAATTGAAGGCTAAGATCCACGCTTTTTTCAAAAATTTTGGAGGTTTCGAAGCTCGGTGTCGAAAGCCTTGAGATTTTTAGGGGATACATCTCAGGGTCATATAATGCCGTTTGGGACCATATATGATCAATATATGTTGTCATTAAAGTTCGTAATAGTCTTGATCTAATGAAATCGGTGCAAGTTGTAAACCGATAAATTGGTCGTTTAAAGGCAAATTAGATGGTTTATCCATCCAATTGGACTTCCGAAGGGTATTAGGTACCTTGATAAACATTTCGGCAATTTTTAATTGTGGGCGAAAAAAAGTCAAAAAAATTCAAAATTAAAGGCTAATATCCACGCTTTTTGAGAAATTTTAGAGGTTTCAGGGTCCGGTGCCTAAAAGCCTTGAAATTTTAGGAGATACATCTCGGGATCATATAATACCATTTGGAACCATATAAGATCATTATATGTTGTCAAAAATGTTCATGGTAGCCTTGATTTAATGAAATCAGTGCAAGTTATAAACCGGTAAATTAGTCATTTAAAGACGAATTGGATGGCTCCACCCACCCAAAAGGACTCCCAAAGGATATGGTAAAAATTTTAGCAATTTTTATTTCCGAGCGAAAAAAAAGTCACATATTTCAAAAATTTAATGCTAATATCCACGCTTTTTTAGAAATTTCATAGGTTTAAGGGCCTAGTGTCGAAAAGCAATGAGATTTTAGGGGATACATCTCGGGGTCATATATTGCCGTTTGGAACCATATATGATCATTATATGTTGTCATAAATGTTCGTGGTATGCTTGAGTTAATGAAATCGATGTAAGTAAACCGGTAAATTGGCCGTTTAAAGGCAAATTGGATGGTTCCACCACCCAATTGGACTTCTAGAGGGTATTAGGGATCATGATAAAAATTTCAGCAATTTTTATTTTGGGCGAAAATAAGTCAAAAAATTCAAAAATTGAAGTTTGAAAAATTTTGGAGTCTCAGAACCCAGTGTCTAAAAGTTTTGAAATTCTAGGGAATACATCTCGGGGTCATATAATGTCGTTTGGAACCATACGTAATCATTATTTATTGTCATAAATGTTCGTGGTAGGCTTGAATTAATGAAATCGATGCAAGTTGTAAACCGGAAAATTAGTTGTATAAAGGCAAATTGGATGGTTTCACACTTCCACCCACCCAATTGGACTCCCAAAGGTTATTAGGGACCATGGTAAACATTTCGGAAATTTTTATTTACGGGCGAAAAAAAGTCAAAAAAAAATTCCAAAATTGAAGGCTATAATTCACGCTTTTTGAGAAATTTTTGAGATTTCGTGGCCCGGTGTCGAAAAGCCTTGAAAATTAAAGGGGTACATTTCGGGGTCATATAATGCCTTTTGGAATCATATATAATCATTATATGTTGTCATAAATGTTCGTGGTAGGATTAATCTAATGAAATCGGTGCAAGTTGTAAACCGGTTAATAAGTCGTTTAAAGGCAAATTGGATGGTTCCACCCACCCAATTGGACTCCCGGAGATTATTAGGGACCATGGTAAACATTTCGGCAATTTTTATATCCGGGCGAAAAAAAGTCAATATATTTTAAAATTGAAGGCTTATATCCACGCTTTTTGAGAAATTTTAAAGGTTTCGGGGCCAAAAGCCTTGAGATTTTAGAGAACACATTTCGGGGTCATATAATGCCGTTTAAAACCATATTTGATCATAATTTTTTGTCATAAATGTTTGTTGTAGGCTTGAGTTAATAAAATCGGTGCAAATTGTAAACCATTAACTCGACTGTTTAAAAACAAATTGAATGGTTGCACCTAAACAAATGGACTCCCGGAGGGTATTAGGGACCATTGTAAACATTATGACAATTTTTGTTTACGAGCGAAAAAAAGTCAAAAATCTCAAAATTGAAGTCTAATAACCACGCATTTTGTGAAATTTTGGAGGTTTCGGGGCCCGGTGTCGAAAAGTCTTGAAATTCTAGGGGATAAATCTCGGATCATATAATGTCGTTTGGAACTATATATGATCATTATATGTTGAAATAAATGTTCGTGGAAGACTTAACTTGATGAAAGCGTTGCAAGTTGTAAATCGGTAAATTGACCGTTTAAATGCAAATTGGATGGTTCAACCCACCCAATTGGACTCCTAAAGGGTATTAGGGATCATGGTAAACATTTCATCAATTTTTATTTACAGGCGAAAAAAGTTAAAAAATTCCAAAATTGAAGTCTAATATGCACGATTTTTGAGAAATTTTGGAGGTTTCAGGTCTCGGTGTCGAAAAGTTTTGGAATTTTAGGGAATATATTTCGGGGTCATATAATGTCGTTTGAAACCATATATGATCATTATTTGTTGTCATAAATGTTCGCTGTAGGCTTGAGTTATTAAAATCGGTACAAGTTGTAAACCGGTAACTTTGCTGTTTAAATA